TCGGATTCTTTTAAGGCCTTAGTTTTCTTTTCTAAGTCCTTAGTTATTCGTTTGTTTAGTTCCAGAAGTTTATCTTCCTCTGATTTCTTAAGAGTACTGATGCAAGTCTTTTCCTTAGCAAGTTCTGCTTTTTTCTTCGGTCAGAAGGTCAGTCTCTCTTTGTAGAAACTTGCTTCTTTTTCCGCTTTTATCCTTTCAGATTTTTCCAAATTTAATTTCTCTTTTAATTTAAAGAAATCTTCTGAAAGTTTTATAACCCTTAAGTCTAGCTCAGATGGAGCAGAGTTGGTTTCATTTGAAGTAGACTCACATACCTGATCATCAGAGTTGGAGGCAGATTCTGCATTGGACGTGGCCATCARACAGATGAGTGCTTTGTCTTCATCATCTGATGAAGAACCAGACACCCAATTTTTTTTTTCGGCCATCAGGCTTTGCTCTTTAGGATTATACTTGTATTTGTTCTTGTAATAGTTAGCATCCTTTACCAATCGTCCTCTGCATTCTTTGAAAAAATGATCGAGTTTTCCGCACCTGAAGCATCGGAGGTCATTTTTCCTTCCATCCTTGTCCTCTTTCCTCTCGTATCTTCTGTCTTCTCTTCTTTCTTCCCTCTCTTCTCTTCCATCTCTTCTATTTTCCCTCTGATGAAATTTGGATGGCTTCCTTTCATAGGATGACTGGTATCTTTCCCTCTTGAACTCTTTTCGTTCATAGGGTTTCTCGATGAACTTTTTCTAGAACTGCTTTGTAATAAAGCCAAAGATTTGGCAAAAGCTTTAATTTCATCATTTGATTCAGAAGTTTCTTCTTCAGATTCTGATTCTACCACCAATGCTTTCTTGCCTTTCTTCTTGTGTGCTCTGGTTGGGGTCCTTGATATTTCTTTTTCATCGGCAGCAAAAGCGAGAGGTCCACCGATGGATACCTTCTTCTTCATTATGTCGTTCTCTTGTGCTGTAAGTGTTCCATACAGATCATGAAGTGACCAGCCGTCTAGGTCCTAGTTTGCTTGAAAGGACATAGACAGCTGAGTCCATTCATTGCCAAGACTTTTTAGGAATAAAACATTGTTTTCTTCCTTAGTTCTGGAGATATCGTTTCGACGACATTGATT